ATATATATATATATGTGTGTGTGTGTGTGTGTGTGTGTGCGCGCGTGCGCAGCTAGGTGAATCCATGGGTGCTAAAGCACAAGTAAGCAGAAGATGCTCCTAATACCCCACCCACCACGACCACCACCTCAGATCACATTTATAATTTTTACTCCTATCAAGCAGGGCTCACAGAGCAGAGGTGCAGGGTTCAATTCTGGCTCCGGCCTTCCTGTATGGAGTTTGCATGTTCTCCCTGTGCCTTGTTTGGGTTTTCTCCGAGTAATCCAGTTTTCTCCCACATTCCAAAAACATGCGTGGCAGGTTAATGGAACACTCTAAATTGTCCCTAGGTGTGAGTGTGAGCGCGAATGGTTCTTGGTCTCTGTGTGCCTTGCGATGGGCTGGCAACCAGTTCTGGATGTACCCCGCCTTCTGTCCGAAGACAACTGGGATAGGCTCTAGCATGTCCCGCGACCTTTGTGAGGATAAGCGGATCAGAAAAGCAGGGCTGTGCACAAATCGGTGATGATTCAAAAAGAGGAGCAAATTGGCCATTTAAAAACACCAAATAAGAATTCTCGAATTCGAGTCAGAATGGGTCATAGCATATTATCACGTGTATTGTCACAATCGAGAGAGTAATTGGTTGGCAACACTCATGCCTCAGTATGCGTGACCTATTGTAGCATCAAAGAATAAATCAGGCTAAGCAGAAAGCTCGAAGTAAACTCCTTAATGAGAACAAAATGCCGTACTGACCGCGACTCCGCCAAAACAACAGCGTTAACCGGTGTGCAGTTTACGGTGTCATTTCTCCCTTCCTTCTCCCGCACCACGAACGTCCTGTCTTGTTCACGGCCCCTCCAGTTCATAGGAAACCACTGATTCTCTGGCTACTCCGGTTTCGTCCCACATTCCAAAAACGTGCATGGGAGGTTGATTGAACGCTCTAAATTGTCCCTAGGTGTGAATGTTTGTCGATGGGTGGCCTGCATTTGGCTGGGAACCGGTTAATGGTGTACCCCACCTGTTGCTCAAAGACGGCTGGGATAGGATCCAGCACAACCCTCGTGAGGATAAGCAGTTCAGATAATGTATTGATATTTTTACACTTTATCAGCTTAACTGCCTTCATACAAAGGTATTCAGTTGAAAAACTAGCTCAAATGATCAATTATACACGGAAAACTGAATGGTGAACAGAAGGAAACAATGCCTGTCGCACGGTTGTTGCTTTCGAGAATCATGGTGGACACCATCAACTGATCAGCTGTTCGCTTTGGAAAATACGAAATGCCTGTAGCTGAACTACGCACTAAATCCTGATGACTCACGCTCAAGAATGCACCAAAAAATAGTGCTTGCCAATTGCGCGAAAATATGGATCTATTTTATTGTATGATTGCTTCCAATGAAAGTGTACACCACGCTCGACTCGGAAAGTACTTGGTCATCGTATTTTAAAGTGAAACAATTGAACTTATATCAGGTCATGACACAAGTAGATGTCATTTCTGCGTCTTACTTTCAACCATCTATAAATTCCAATATATTCATGTCTTTCACCACACAAATAAAGGTGTCGGTTTCCTCCTCACTCCACAATTGTAATGCTGTGCTGCAGCTGAGTTTCATCAAGTGTGTTTACTTCTGCTTGTGTATGCCCGGTGGGTTGCACGCCACACGCCGCAAACAAGAGGTTCCTGTGCTCAAAAGACCACGTTTCCTTGTGGATCGAGCATGCACAGAAGACAAACGAATGCTGTTTGAAGTGTTTATATGACCAAACATTTGGGTTAGGGAAGGAGTAACCCTTACTCAGGTTTTGAAAAAACAGAATATGAGCAAGTTTGTTGATTTACATGACCTTGCCCAACCGCAATATTGCTAATTTCCAGGTTTTTAAAAGTGGCATTGACTACATCTAAACATAGCCATTGTTGATAAATGCACTGCATTTTTCAAGTCTTCCTCTATTGTCCTCAGGACATTACCTGTAAATAAGTGTGCCAAAATAGCCATAAACCGCTCCGCCTGGTGCTCTACTGTTGGAAACACTTTCTGACGTCATGATAACCCCAATCTAGAATAAAATAGTATTAATTTGAGGTGACGAGCAGTTGCAGCAGATGTTCTCCACCTACGCAGTGATGTCCAGCAACGGTCCATTCCGTGGTCCTCGCCCCTCACGACATACACAATGAATGGAGATGATGACGGCGGGCTGCGACTTGCTAAGTTCAGTGTGAAAAGTGCTTTCAGAGCCGTATGAAACCGAGCAAAGAGCCATATGTGGCTTGCGAGCCACATGTTGGCTTGCGAGCAACATGTTGGCTCGCCCTGTAAATATGTTCTGGTCCCTGATACGAATAATACAAGTTTTTTGTTCATCTTTGGTTTTCACTGGGGTACGGATTGATAGTGTTTGAAGAAAGTTGGTGAAGCACTTGCTTTGGGAGCACTTCAAAGTTGCTGGTGGCTCGCTATTTTACAGTTGTCTTCCCAGGCATTTGGAATATTAGGCATAATTACTCCTCCACAAGTACTCACTGAGGGAAGTTTAGTTAGTGTGTAAGGCAGAGCGATATAGCTGCAATGACGCCCAATTCCTCGCTAGACGGCCAACTGTCGAAACTTGTGGGGCAGCCGCCTCCATAGAGGAGTTCATCATTGATTCACCAAAACATATTTTACAGTCTGCTGAAAGTGTACCCCTCTCTTTGGAATGACCTCCCACTAAACGTTCGGCAAGCCCCCTCGATGCCAATCTAACTTGTCTTAAAACTCATTTTTATTCTTCGGCTTTTGACTCAGCATGAGACTTGATTTTTAGTTTTATTGTTTTGTGCTTTCTACTCTCTTTGTTAATCATTTATTGTTTTATTGTTGTTAATAATGACTTTTGCTCCATGTACAGCACTTCGTATATAGTGGTGGTTGTTTTAAAGTGCTCTATAAATACAGTTGAGTTGAGAAGTATCTCCGCATGGCTAACATAGCTGCCGGAAGGCATCAGGCCGATAAAATAGTATTGGAGAGGTTTCAAAATATTTTTATGAGTTGCATACAGACCTACAGTATTGGCACCAGCATTTTAATATTTAGGTATTTTTCATTATCATGTTTTTTTTTTTTAATTACATTTTGAAACAAATTTGTTTTTTCAGTTTTTATTTTTTTCAAAAAGGCTTTGTTTGAGTTTAGTTTTAGTATTAGTTTGAGTTTTTAATATATGGATTATTTGTGGATTGCAACATAAAACATCAAAGTATTGTGTAATTAAATAAAGTAAACTACAATTCCCAAACCTTTCTTCTGTACAGCCTTAAAGTAATGTGGAAATAAATACATATACAAATAAAAATGAATGCCAAAATCATAATGTATGAAATGAATTGAAAACGATTCAAACAAAGCACATTTTCTTGACAATTATAGTTTCAGTTAGTCTTAAAACGCACTTTAGTTTTTGTTTCATTCATAAGAATATTTTGTAGAATTTGGTTTTAGTTATTTCGTTAACCTCCATTAACTATAATAACTGATTCAGATATTGATACTATTGTTTTCAGTGACTCCCTAATTAAAATGTGTCCAAAAAATGTGTCAAAATCATGTCTATTCGACTCCTAATACGAGTGCTAATTATCCCAATTGATCATCAAATGAAAATTATTATATGGCAGATTGTATATCTTGGGGATCCTTACATAATATTTCTTGAATATACCTTTGGTGTGCTCAACATTTTTCTGTTCATAAAAGGGCTCAATGAGCTGGCTACCAGACTGTATCGAGGTAACCCCTGTGACATTCCATGGCGGACTTTTTTTCCTTTTTTTTTTCAACGCTAATATGACGTAAATCTGCAACGAAATAACGAAAAAAAAAGATTGACAGTGTAATTTACTGTTGCATTAATGTACGCTTCAGGCAGGGCTGGAATATGAATAATAGTTGGGAGTATTGTTAGATTATAGTGTATTGTGTCAGTGACGCGCACACACACACACACACACACACACACACACACACACACTCCGGACATTTTACACTGTTGCGTTCCAGGTTCTTGCATCACTTCATTTCACTTGTGTGCTAATGAGTAATATACCTTATTTTGGACAGCCTTGATTCATTCCAATGGATGTCAGTGCGAAACCAAAGGAGTATAATGCAGGCTCAGGTAAAACATCTTCTACTGCATTCTCTTGACTGGCCGATCCAAACGATTATGAGATAATTAATCTGTATTTGTGGGTATTATGGTTTATTTTTGTAGAGGAGCAGCAGAGCCAGTCAGACGCTTCAGATGATAAACCGGGATTGTCCCAGCTTAGAAAGTCTTGGGGTTTCAGGCGATCAACTTTAGCTCGCCGTGAGTTCATGGAAGAAGTTGGAGACTTGACCAACAGCCCTCCACCTCTACGGAAAGTCAGAGGCCGTCGTCCAACACGGACAACGCTAGCCTCGAAAGACAGCATTGCTGCCCAATCTCCTCAAGAATCTCGGACTGCTGTAGAAGATCTCGAGTGGTCCGCCTCTTCCTCACCGGTACCTGACGAGACAAAACCAGCTTTAGCCTCTGCGGGCGGGTGTCTTGACCCGAGCATGTGGCAGGATGTTGGGTCTGCTTTTCACACAGCTTTCAGTCTTCTTGGTGGGGATGACGATTTGTCTATGGAAATGTCTCAAACTTTGCCAGACCCCGATATTTTGGGAGTTGGCACTGCTACAGAGGTCCCGCCCGCACAGACTGCAGATGACACAGTGGTGTCTGAACTCAAGGGATCTGCAGACAATGTTGGAACTTTGCAGCCCGTTGTTTCAGATGAAGTGGCACAAGAGGATGTCGAGAGTGTAATTTTAATCTCAAGTCAGGAAGAGGATAGCGATGACATGCCTTTAATACAAATCAAGGAGCAGTTGGACCATAAAGCCAGGCAGGGAGGCAGCACCAAGGGAGGCGGAAGAGGAAAGGCCAGAGGAAGAGGGAGAGGGCGAGGAAAGGGTAAAGGCAGAGGAAGGGGCAGAGGGAGGTCGAAGGCATCGGAGGTTGTGGCAATCATGGCAAATGACGAAGACGATGATGATGTGATTCTTATTCATCCATCAGAGACAGTCTCCGTTACAACTCCGAGTCCTGCTCAACAAACAAGCTCAGACTTTATTATCGTTGGCACAGATGTAGATCAGAATAGTGACACAACTCTTGGCCAGTACAATGATGCACCAGATGAGGAGGAGGGGAAGCAAGGAGACAGTGTCATTAAAAATGTTACGGAACATTCAAGCTTATCGGACTCCAAGGATTATGACCCAAATGCCCTGTACTGCATCTGTCGGCAAAAACACAACAAAAGGTAACTTGAGAGTAATAAATATCTCTCCCGGGCAGAGTTTCTGCCCCCGCTCCAAATAATGACTTTAACTTCCTGATTCCTTCATTTGGTTCCCCCCCTCTAGGTTCATGATCTCCTGTAACGGTTGCCAGGAGTATTTCCATGGCGACTGTGTTGGTGTCAGTGAGTCAGAAGGCTGTCAAGAGTACATATGTTCACTTTGCACGACAAAGCAGCTGAGCCAACTCCAGCCCGAGTGTCACTCCCATCCCGAAATTTCTCCCGAGAGCTTGTCACTCAGTCCTTCTGGTGAAGAACCAGAGGGGAAAAAGGAGTGGCACTCCGTGAAGGTTCGCATTTAATTTGGATTCTGGTTTTCACTATATATCATTTCTCCAGACAGCCCTCATTCCTTTGATCACACGTTGCGCTATTCCAGTTCCTATAAACACCATAGCCCAATTTGTCGTCTTGAATGCCACTGAATTTGTGACTTATCCAAGTGACATGAATGTTGCATTGTTTGAAAATTGTCCAATTGAGGTCTGGTCATAAGATGCCAATCTGGTTTCAGAAGACTGTAGACTTGGAGGTGAATCACATAGCGGAGGTTCCTGCAATAAGGCCTGTGGCTGGAACCGAACCTGAAAGGGCGATGGAGACAGGTTGTTCTCGTCCATTGTGTATTGGCCCAGGATGCTCCAAACCAGCATTGCAGGAATCTGTTTATTGTGGCACTGTTTGCATTGTGCAGCATGCTGCTCTCACTATGAAGTCTCTCTCTGACACAAAGGTGTCCAATCCTAGAGGTCAAGTGCAGAAAAAAGCCACAGCTGTAATGCCTACTGCAAAGGTAAATCATTCAAGTCATTTCAAACATAGTGATCTAGAAAAATGGTGTCAATGTAAATGCTTGATGAGTGAAAATATCTTCCCCCTCAGGGTCAAAGCTCTAGTAGGGTGTCTGCGAGGTTAGCAGCAAAAGCTGAAGAATGTGCCAAAGAAGACGAGCTGATGGAAACCCATGGAGCACAGACAGAGGCTACATCTTCCCTAGCCTGTGACCCCACTCTCACAGGAGTTCAGGCCACTCGGCAACCATCACCTAAGTTTTACACAGCGTGTATGTACCATTCACTACTCATCCTCTTCCAATTCATACAGACACTTTCCCCCTTTGGCACGAGGTTTCCTTCATCTTTGCACAAGTCACACAATCACTCACAGTGATACAGTCATACATATCACTAATACATCACAGGGGTCAGGAGTTGGTAAGTATATTACAGTCCAAATGTAACCTGTGATGTACTCAAACACAATCTTGAATGACTTTGCATTTCGAAACACATTCATTTTAGCCGTTTGCTATCACTGGAAAATCAAAAAGCAAACCACAGCAGTGCCTTTTGGGGATATATTATCCAACTTTGAATGGATTTTAATACACCGGTACATGCCTGGGAATTCGGTGGGAACTTAAACGTGACCTCATCTACCTCCTAATACCACCAGTATCACATTACAAAACAATATAATTATATAATAATAATAATAATACATTTTATTTATACGCGCCTTTCAAAATACCCAAGGACACTTTACAATCAAAAGAGCAATAAAACCACAGATAAAATTATAAATAATAAAAGCGATGAGTTTAAACTGTATATGCAATTTTAAATAGGTGGGTTTTAAGATGAGTTTTGAATATAGGAAGAGAGTCAATATGTCGGGTGGGAGTGAGTTCCAGAGTTTGGGGGCAGAGCGGCTGAAAGCTCTGCACTCCATCGTGCTGAGACAGGCAGAGGGGACACAGAGGGGGAGGGAGGCCGCGGACCTCAGGGGGCGGGACGGAACAGAAATTTGAAGAAGGTCCGACAGATAGGGGGGGGCAAGGTTATGAATGGCTTTGAATGTGAAGAGGAGTATTTTGAAGTTGATCCTCAGTTTGACAGGGAGCCAGTGTATGTGGCATTACAGAGAAAGTGAGTCATTTCACACATCTGAATATGAATACGAATATTGCTAAAACAAGAAACTTTGTTCAACCTTATCTTCCGATACACCAAACATCAACACTACAATCCAGCAGTTCAAAATCTGTCTTCATATAGTAACATGAGAAAAACATAAAAACGTTGAAATACATCATACTCATCAGCGATGCTTATTAATAGACAAAAGTCTTCCCTCTTTGGCTCCTCAGAGTTTAGAGTCGTGGGATTCTATAAAAGTCACTGTACACCTCCAGCTTGTTGGGGTGGATTGTCGGTGAAAACATCAACAAAGCGACAGGGAATTTATTCATCGCCACACCAGGATGGTGGAATATTCTGTGCTCTTAACATTTAAAACAACAACAGACCTCCTCCCCCCCCTGCAAAAAAAGATCATGCAAACAATACATTGATAAATAGATAAAAATCACGGTAGCAAATAGAATGCAACTCAATATAATGATGTAAAAGCAGGACTCGAGATTAAATTTTGGAACTGGTTGTAATGGTGCGCCCAACCCTTTTTGTGTGCACTAGCACAAGGATAGGTGCTCCAAAATTTTCCACGACATCGCATTCAACACTGCAGTTTTGTAGGTTCACTCCTTTTTAAAACAAAATGACCGCCTGTCTTTTTAGGTAACATTGTAAAAATTATTCGCTTACAATCTGGTCACCATAAAGTTATTGATTTGAATCACAATTCCACAAAATTGGTCACTTACTCAAAAGTACTGGTGCTTGAAGTGCTCTGTATCAGAGTCTTGCTCATGACATTTGAACATAATGGGCCCCACTAGAACTTTCAAGTAGTTAGCAATCGTTCCTGTCATCTGTAGCTAGCTCCACTCTATGCGCATAGGTCACTCACCTTGGCCTGTCACATTTTTTTAAGAGTATATTTTCTCCAAAATTACCATGATAAATGATAATCATTGTTGATGGGTTTGTTTTGGCTTTTTTTTAACTGATGATTTTATGATGGAGCGAGTATGTCCTTTTTAAGAGCAAATACCTTCTCAAGAATATTGAACATTGGCATTGAACTAGACGGTTGAACAGTAATTAAAAATAGCTTTGACAAAAAAAAAAGTATATATATATATATATCGGTCAGGCCCAATTAACTCAGTTGACATCATCATTCTGTAAACTTTCAACTGAGTGATGAGTCAGCATTTTAAAAATATATATATATATATACACACACACACACAAGTAGCATATAGCAGACAGTGTTCACACAAATTACATTGAAGCAAATATTAAACATTTGCTACAGATACCAATTAATACCCTCCTCCCCTGCCCCTCGACACTGGTCGCACCGAATGCATCCTCCTTTTTATATTTTGGGGCGTAATATTGAGAAATTAGGTCCCCAAATTGGTCTTAGTCTTGAACCCCGCGAAGTACAGTTTCTTCTTCACAGATGTACAAAAAAAAAAAGTAAAACGTATGTTGCATCAAAACTACTCTGACAAGTACTAAAAACATGTGAAAAGAGTGAATGTAACGGCGTAAGTGTAGTGTATAACTACCTACCTGTGCAAATATGTACATTTTAATCAGGAGGTTTTATTTTAGTGCTGATGAGGAACACAGTCGGAGGAACAGTTGCGCAAACACGCTATAATTGTTGTGGGAAATTGTTGGAAACATTTTTATCAGAGATGCCCATTGCGTCGGTCATGATCAACCGGTTGATCTCCAAGGGACTGTGGGTCGATCCCATGGCATTAATTCACTCACTTGCAGTTTTATAGCGACTGATATAGCTGCCTGTTAACGGCAATAAAAGAGTTCAAATAAAACATAGACGCCCACCTATCAGCCATTAGGGCAGCAAGTCATACGCCTGTTTGGAAGTCTGCGTACGGCTCGTTAGCAACAGCCCGGCTTACCGCATGTTAAGAGCTCAAATATTTACAAAAAAAAAAAAAACATTTTGTTGGTACAGTCACCTCCAAAAATAATGGAACGGCAAATTGTTTTTGTTGTATAGCGTAGACATTTGGATTTCAAATGAACATCAAGACAAAAGTTTTTGTTTCTGGGGGCTTCTCCCTTGAGTCTATTCTTCAGGAGGTAAAATGCATGCTCTATTGGGTTAAGGTCTGATGATTGACCTGGCCATTCTTAGACCTTCTACTTTTTCCCCCCCAATGAAATTCTATGTTGTGTTGAATCCCCCAGAGACAAACAAGAACAGAAAGAAGCTGCAATAAAGGCCTGGAAAAGCATTTCAAACGAAGACTGAAACAGTCTGGCGAAGTCAGGGTTATGCCACCAACTATTACATGTAATTCACTCTGAGTTAGATTAATTATATCCGTTTCACTGCTTTTGTTCACTTGAAAAGTGGGTGGCTTCAAACAAAAGGCTTTCTGTTCTGTGTTGTCTATTATGTTGTCAAGTTAGTAAATAGAGTAACATGACAAACAAACAAATGTTAGTAAATTATGTTGTCATAAAGTAAAAGTTGAGAGTTTTGAACTTTTGATCTGAAGCCCAAAATGTCTTCAGAATACAACAAAAACAAAGGAACTTGCCGTTCGAAGACTTTTGGAAGGGACCGTAGATCATTTTGACTTGGTCATTTTAAAAGTAAATTAGCTCGCATGCTGATGTAGTGTGGGCACCCCTGATTTATGTTATGTTCTCGGAGAGCAAACCTTTTCCCATCTCAAGATGTACTGCAATATGCCACTGTAAAACTGCTTACAGTGGAACCTCTGTTCACAAACAAGTGGGTTTATGAACGTAATTTTCAGATAAAAGATATTGATTGATTAAAAATTCACAAAGTGCTTCACAAACAGTCCCTGACTCCATGCGCAACGCTCAGTTGTGCTTTTGCTCACACAGTGCTCACATTGTCCGCTCCATGCATTTCACATACAGATACGTCTCAGTATTGCTCCCAAGAAAGTGACATACTGGTGCATTGTGCACAATTGTGATTTGAGGAGCCTTGGAATGTGTCACTGGCGAGGCTGGGAGCGTGCTGTGGCTGGGGAAGCAGCAGCTCCGCTGCCTGCCAGTGCGACAGTGTTGGGTGGGTTGTCCGGCCGCATCTCACCTCGGCAAGCTTGTCGTACCTGGGCAGGCATCTTTGTTCTGGGGCCGGAATGGATGAATTCTACGTGTATTCACTTGAATTGGAATAATTGCTTCCAAACATGTCAAAAGTCGCTTCAGTTCGTGAGCTGTGATTCTTGCATATTTCATCCCATGAGAGGGATTGCGGGTTATGATCACACTCTCAATATGCTTGTCATATTGCATACCTACAGCACAGTCACATTGTACAACATACAGCCATCATATATGATAAAAGCAATTCCTACATGTTTTGCAGTCTGCACAATCCTGATGCTGCTTCCCGTATTGCAAACAAACATACTTTCACAACCACAATTGCACACGAGTTTTGGGGTTGTAAAGGCTGTTCGAGGAGATAGAGAGTAAAGTTGCCGTCCACGTGACGATTAACGGCGTTAGATTTTGGTGACTGTGTCTCAGCTGACATAAAGTCAACCCTCCTCTTTTTCTTCCTCCACAATGTACAAACGTAGCATCCATGTGATTGGTTGACAGACCATTACCCTGCCCC